TAACTTGTAATGATATCACAATAACTTTTCTTTACTGAGAGGTGACAGACCATATATAGTTCTTCTTATGGAATAGCCACGTCTACTGAAGTGTAAAGGGGCTCTCAGTTACCTCCAAAGAACAATCTAGGTCATTCCAACCTATGCCTAGGATCTGGTATATCACAATCTTAAAAAAAAAAAAAAAGTGAATTAGTGATTATGAGCCCATTCCAGCTGGCCTTGTCTATGACTCACCGTTTAGAATATGTGTCTGTACTGTATCATAAAATGCACACTAAGATACTTTTCTACAGCACATCAATAAGAATACAATAAGAGAGTACGTGTACTATACTCATCAAATGGTCTACTCTTAGTTGGAGGTTAAAAATGAAAGGGAAAGCAGAAAGAGAGAGGAGAGACAAGAGAGAGAGTGGAAAGACAGAAAGAGAGAGAGGAGTAAAGATAAGGTTCCATTTAAGACCCTGGGTGATGGAATGGCAGATGTGTGTCAGCATACTGGGACATTCTATTAAATTCTTTTATGTGAACATAAAAGTACATAATTCCTCATTAAGTTAGATAATGTCCAATTTTTTTCTGAGGAAATGTATAAGTAAGAATAAAAGATATAAATGAAATAAAACATAAATACCTTAAAATAAATTTATAATTCAATATATCATTATTTATAAAAATAAGATTAAAATAGTGAAAGAAAAAATTGGTTTCTACCCAATCATTACACCTATAAAAATATTATAATATGACTCTCAATTTTATAAGGTATTATGTGCCAGATTAAAGGGAAATAAAAAATAAATCATATGCTAAAATTTATCTACATTTTATATTACTCTGTGTGTGAATGATACATTTTTAGATAAGTAGTCACCCATTAAATCAACACCACAATACCCTAAGGTATGCATCATCCCTACAGTTTCTTTCTTTCTGATGTCTCATACATTATAAGATGTAATACCTCAGTAATTATTTAGTTGGCATTATTGTATTGTTAATTACTGACCCATGTTACAAGTGGATCCTAAAAATTACATGTTTTGCCAAATTTTTAGAGTATTTTTATTTTATAATTAATTTAATTTCACATATCAACCACGGATTGCCCCGTCCTCCCTCCTCCCATCCCTCAGGCCACCCCCCATCCACCCCCCACTCCCACCTCCTCCAAGGCAAGGTCTCCCCTGGGGAGTCAGGCCAGGCTGGCAGACTCAGACAAGGCAGGTCCAGTCCCTTCCTCTGTACTCCAAAACTGAGCAAAGTGTCCCAGCATAGGACCCAGGCTCCAAAAAGTCAGCCCATGCACCAAGGACAGGTCCTGACTCCACTGCCTGTGGGACCCCCAAACAGTTCAAGCTAATCAGCTGTCTCACTTATCCAGAGGGCCTGGTCCAGCTGGTATTATCTGACCAGTCTTTCATTTCACACCTCCCGGCTCCCCAGACCAGCACTTCCACTCCAGTTTCCTTCTGTGTGCCCGAATATTACTTGAAATGCATGTAGCATTTCAACAAGTATAACTGTGTTTTGTCTACAGAACTATGCATAATAGACTGCTAGTTAATGATGCTTGAAAGTTATAATTAGAAATATTTTCATCCCTAGAGTCCAACCGAGGCACCAAACTTTGTCACAAACTTAGGGGTAAAGAGAATAACTAGGTTGAAACATTTCTTTACTTGCACCAAATATTTCCCTCTTTTTAGGATTCCGATAATATTGCTTGTTAAATCAGACAACTGTTAACCACACGAAACAACATTAGCTATTCCTAAACCAGCAAAGTTTGTGCCAGTTACTATACCTGACCCAACTTATCTTCTTACATATAGCAAGTCTATCATTGTGATGTAGCAAAACAAAGGAGAGGCACACTCTAACACTGGCTTCTGTTTCCCAGAGGACAAATATCACGAGACTGGAAAGTGCCTTTATACCAGCATGTTATCTGCACCTATCATATCTAATAAATGTAAATAGAAACATTTGAATTTTTACACGTTAATGCCATACATAACTAACTTGCTTCCCACCCATTTCTGATCAGGAAACTACTAAAGCAGGAATTACAAAGCAGTGACAATTATCCAAAATGTGAAGTGAAACTAGAAGTTTCCATAGGTTCATTATTTTGAAATTGTAAAAGTCTTTGTTGTCTAGTTCCATCTGTTTGCCCTCAAAGTTCATAATTTCTGTTTTCATTACATCAGAATGGTATTTTATAGTGTATAAGTGCCACATTTTCATTATCTATTCATTGGTTGTCGGGCATTTAGGTTGTTTCCATTTCCTATCTATTGCTAATAGAGCAGCAATAAACAGACCACCATGAGCTGAACAAGGATAACACCAATGAACACACCAAATTTCATTTGGGGAAAAGCTCCAACTGAAATATTTAGAAATATTAGTAACATGTGTCCTACACACACACACACACACACACACACACACACACACACACACCAGACACACAAAATACTTTGTTTCAAAAGGTTAAAACATGTACACACAATTTGTTTCCAAGACAATATATTTGAAAACCAGTTGACTGTTACCTCAATGGCTGGCATGATCATACTCCAGATAAATAGTGGGTATGAATACAATGGCTCTATCTCCATTGTGTGCTAAGTCTGGGATCAGATGCTGACTCAGCTGGTGGGAGTCGTAGGTAATTAGTGAGTTACTTAAGACTGGAAGCTAGCCGGGCGGTGGTGGCGCACGCCTTTAATCCCAGCACTCGGGAGGCAGAGCCAGGCGGATCTCTGTGAGTTCGAGGCCAGCCTGGGCTACCAAGTGAGTCCCAGGAAAGGCGCAAAGCTACACAGAGAAACCCTGTCTCGAAAAACCAAAAAAAAAAAAAAAAGACTGGAAGCTAAAGCAGGACAGCAATTGCATGGTGATATTTCCCCGCTACACAAGAGTAAAACCAAGCAAGTGTTGTTTTATTTATGAAGTCAGTAATTAGATACAGCTATGAACAATATGCAGTGCCTAATAATTTACAAACAAGAAAAAGAAACGGTGTATTAACTAAACACTCCTAAATAAATGAATAAACTGATACTGAGCACAAAGGGACATACCTGAAACATTCAAAAAAAAGTACAAAGTATTTTGATTTCTATTAAATGATTTCATAAGCAAGATCTTTTACATTGGAGACAGACAGCTCAAAACAAGGAAAATTATGGGAAGATGGTGATGTCTGTGGCTCCATTTATATTTAGTAATATTTACACCTAAATGCTAGTGCTCCTTATAATTAAGCATAAACTAAAAAAAATGATAGAATGGTAGATATGGAGGAAGACTTCAGCCCAGAGGCCTCAGGTTGCCTAGTTGAAGAGAATACTGTCTGCCCTTGCTCTGGGCTGCTATAGGTTCAGAAAGATGCGTGACTAGCCATGGTCTTCCCACAGAAAGTTGTATTTGAGTGCAATAAGGAACAAGAAGTTAAAAAGACTGTATACGGTAGCCATCTTAGACAATATGTAAGAAAATATCACTACAAACTTGTCTAAGGACAACCAATTATCAAACTATCATCAGGATACACTTCATAACCTGTTAGACACCTCCTTTCAGAAGATACCTAGAAGCTCTGGCTCCATCTGTGTAATAACTATTGGATAATAAATATTGAAATAAATAAGTAAGTAAATACTTTGATGAACTGCTTTGTTATTTATGAAAAAGAGCCCCCATTTGCCAAGTGATAAAACATGTTGTCTATCAGGTTTGAAACCATGACAGCACAAAAAAACACTCCTGAAATTGTCATGAGCTGTGCTTCAAGCAAACCTTGAATATCCCTCTGTAATTTAGAGGTGGGAACACATGTATTGAATTTGAAGCATGTCCCTGTTTTCCTGACTAAGTTAATACCTTACCAAAATTAAAGAAGCGATATTAACTCATCTATTTGTAACAGTATACAAAGTGTAAAGTAAATAATCGATAGCTAACTCATTGAATATTTTTGGTATTCTTATTGTAAAATATCATGTTTGTTACTACTAGAGAAATTGAGAATACCCTGACAAGTGATAAACAAGCAATTTCATTTTCTCCCTGTACAGTGATCTGTTCCCTTTTGTTGTCTCAGAACAGGTCTGTCATTATACTTGCATACATCAAAAGTGTTAGGATAGAGTTGAAGATCTGACAAGGAAAGGAGACAGCACTGATATCCTCATTCATACTTTTATTAAAGATTATTCTAACCTGCATTCTCATATACTTGTAATCCCTTTATTATTTCCTACTATAACTTGTAAAGTTATAAGAAATCAAGTCACCTTTTCCAGTCACAACAGAATTCTCCATTGCTAACAGGCATAATATATATGATTTTAACTTTTCAGAGATAGGCAATTCAGTTACTTTAATGGTACAACCTAAAAATTTCAATTATTCATTTGTGTATTTTCAAAACATAAGTTAGAAACAAACTTAATAGACAGATGAACTTATGTAGATGGTTTTAAAGTATCTGTCATTTAGCTGTTTTGTAATATCTCATTCATACTTATTTACAGAATTGTGAATAAATAAAAATAAGGGCACATTTCAGAATATTCACCTTACATATACAGCATGTCAGCAATTGTCTTTTCATGAAGGGATAAAATTAAATTTTCTCCTAGAATATGATTTTAGCTATACAGTTTAGCTATCCTATTCTTATTAAAGTAGATGGTTTAAATAACAGAATATAATACAATGGAAAGTACCTAGTGTGACATATAAAAAACTGTGTTTGATGCTCAGAACTTGAAATGAAGAGCCTCCCTTTCTGAAGAAAAAAAAATTAAAAAGAAAAAATTTCAGCTCTATGTTAAAGTTATTCTCAAATAAAATAAGGAAGTGGCTATGATTTTCCAACCCAACTGCAAGGAAAGAACAAAAAGGAAGAACAATAAAGAGTAAATCACAGAGATACATTGCATATCAGAGTTGATGACTCAGCATATATTGAAAGAACTCACTTTGAACTCCATGGGAGCGTACTATTTTCCAGGTTTCTGATGCCACTTCTTTGACATCCAGTTGATAGTGATGAATAGGCACACCTCCATGGGAGTCGGGTTTGTTGAAGGAGATCTTGGCTGTAGTCTGGGACAGCTCTATAATCTTCACTCCATGGGGACTAGAGGGTACATCTACAAAGGAAACAGCCTGGGCAATGAGGAGGACTATTGCTAAGACTCATTGTGCTACAAGAATTTGACATAAAGTGGTGATGTGAAACATACTCACACGGTGCTTAGTGTGGGTTCCCTGTTATTCAGAAACATGTGTTAACATGAAGTTACACAACATAAAATTTGCCACATGCACTGATTGTTTGAAGAAATGGAAGAGAACTGGTGAGTGTTCTTTAGCTGTTAAGGAGCTCTTGATGAGTATATTTTTTGATAGCAATTTTTTATTTTCTTCAAGATTGCTTTGTCTCTCTGAAGTCTTACATTGTTCCTGATGAGCTTTAAGACTTTTTTTTTTCTGTGAAGCATTTTTATTGGTACATTGATTGAGATTATATTGAATCTATATATAAATTCAGATAGATTGGGTCTTTTAATAATGAGATTCTTTGACCTCGAGAATAAAGGATACACATTTGTTTATTCACTTTACAGTCAATTATATTTTATGATTTTTGTGTGTGTGGAGAGATATCTTCTCCTTGGTTTATTATTTACTACATATTGTCTTTAGCTATTTAGGGATTGCTGTGGGATGTTCTGTATGTCAAATGTGTTGCTGATTGGTCAATAAATAAATCACTGATTGGCCAGTGGCCAGGCGGGAAGTATAGGCGGGACAAGGAGGAGAATAAAGCTGGGAAGTAGAAGGCTGAGTCAGAGAGACACTGCCAGCCGCCACAATGACAAAAAGCATGTGAAGATGCCGGTAAGCCACAAGCCAGGTGGCAAGGTATAGATTAATGGAAATGGATTAATTTAAGCTGTAAGAACAGTTAGCAAGAAGCCTGCCACAGCCATACAGTCTGTAAGCAATATAAGTCTCTGTGTTTACTTGGTCAGGTCTGAGCGGCTGTGGGACTGGCAGGTGAGAGAGATTTGTCCTGACTGTGGGCCAGGCAGGAAAACTTTAGCAACAAGGGATTGTTTCCTTGATTATTTTTTTCAGGCAGTTTGATAGTGCCAATACATAGAAATATTATTTACTAATATGTATGTTGGTTTTATATTCTGTTACATTTTTAGACCATTTGTTTATTGGTTTGTGTGGGAATTGTTAGGTTTTATATATAAGACTATGCAAACAAAGACAATTTGGAAGTGAGTTACTATTCCCCTACATAATTCCTTCAGTTAGGATTTCTAATTCTATGTTGAACAAAAGTGGTTAAAAATATTTATTCTTGTATTTTTCTGCTGTGGAGGAAAGCTCTTCAAACCCCCTTCCATCCAATATGATGTTACCGTGTGTTTGTCACAGATAACCAATGTGGCCTTAATTATGCTGAGGTACCCCAGAACTGGACATCTTGTATTATCTGACATCAGTTTGTAATGTAAAACTATAATGGCTGAAGCAACATGGTCCTACATTTTTTGAGGCAGCACACTATTTTGTTTTCTGACATGATGCTGTCATATGTTCTTCCTAAATTTGGCCATGGTCTTAGCTTCTGAGGATTGGATAGCTATGAACAATGGGGGTAGATGTCACAGGCTGTGAGTCAGGTTTTCCTCTTTCAGATTCTAACTATGCATAGAACAACATCATGACATCAGAAGAAACTGATATTTATAAACTCTTTGTTTATAGATCCTGTCTGTTCAATATTTAATCTTGTTTCCTATTTTAACTTTCTCTCATTTATCACATGGATTGAATAGTCCCAGTCTTCTTTGCCCAGATTCATATTGGCATTTTAGATGAAAAGTAGTTCTCACAGCTATGTTTGCCAGAGTGTTGAATCTTGTTCTCGTATTATAGGAGGTTCACATGGATAAAAGCATCTGCAGACATGAAGGAAGGGAGCCACTGGGATCCTCAGTCCATGGTTTAATCTCAGTCTGAGGTATGGCTGTAACATCAGTAGTGTGGCAGCTTAGAAGAAAAGTTTCCTCATCTTCCATTAATAGCTTCAGAACTGAACCCTGGGTCTCATTCGAGCTGTTTTGGCAGCTCAAAGCTAGGTAATGACTACTGAATTTGCTTTCATTTGACTTTTTACACAGGTGTTTATGATCAGTTTGTTCTGCTTATGATAACAAATGCAATTCCCTTATCTGTCTGACTAAAATCCTAAATGAGTTGGGACAAAAAGAACTGAAACACGAAGGCATACTACAACAGTAAGATGTCAACTGTGTCAATTTAAGAACTATGCAGAGATGGGCTTCATCTGGTTCATTTGGATGACTTTTTTTATTTCTAATAAGATTACAGAGATTTATTTTTTCTTGTGACTAATGATCTAATATGAACACTCTCAATATTTCAACGTCAATGTTAAAATATTAACATGTGGGATCTTTTAAAATATGGGCAGCACTCTAGTGTATGCGATGATGATTACAAAAGGAGCTCTAAGCACCACATTTGCTCTTTACTCCGTGTGAGGATTTGTTGAGGGAAATGTTTGCAAGGCAGGAGCCTTCACCAGATACTTTCAACTCTAAGGTACTTTTTAAAATAGACAAAATATGTTAATGAGATGTCTTTATTAAACTCCTCCCCTCAAGGTTCAGGGACCTATGCAGAAGAGGAGACAGAAAAGTTGTAAGAGCAAGAAGTGATGGATGATTCCAAGGAAACAGTGTCTTCTAGACACAACAGGGCTCACAGAGAGAGGTGCACCAGGAATGATGCTTACACAGGTACAAGTCACAAGGGTTCTTGCACTGAAAGCTGGAAGTGGTCACATGCTCCTATCCCTAAAGAATCTGAAATTGATACACACTACTGGCAAAGAAAAAATCATTTTATTCAATGGAGTTATAACAGGTATATTAACCATACTTTATGGTCAGCTCCATGAAAAAGGGTAGTTGGTCAACTTAAAATGATGAACTTGATGGGATTTTGTAGTGCTTATGTCTAATCTTGTTTGGATTGGTTATTTTTAATATTATTGGTCTTTTGATTGGATATTTAGGTTTCCATTTTTTTTGTTTCTATGTATGCATGTATGTTTCTTGGTGTTTGTTGGTTTGTTTGGTTTAAGAAAATGAGAGAGAGAGAAAGAGCATAAAGTTGGGTATGTGGGGAGGTGGGTAGAATCTAGGATGAATCAGGGTGAGAGAACATGATCACCTATATTGTATAAAGATATGTTTTCAAGAAAAAATAGATTTAGAAATGTGTGAACATTAATGTAAGTGACAAAACATCTAAGTCCTTGTCACTTGCTTTAAATTTCAATATTCTCCTGGTTTTCAGCAGCTTAAAAATTCAAATGATTATTACATTGATATATTAAGATGATTTGACTATTTGTGTTCACAATATATCCTTAGAATTGGTTATACAAATTGCATAATCATTTCGAATTTTATTTGTTCATTAACTCAGTGACTCAAATTAGGTAGTTTATTGGGTCTATCTCTGATCTTTAATGTTTTTCATTGAATTTTTTAATTCACTATCAAGATTTCAATGTATCTTGCTATTCTATGAAGTTATATGTATACATATATTCTTTTATATTGCTATCTACAACTATGTTTCATTAGCCAATAAAGTATAACACACTGAACGTTTTGTACACTGAGAAAGAAATTCAGATAGCTGTCTCTCTGTATCTATCTATCTACATATCTATCTATCTATCTATCTATCTATCTAATATCTATCTATCTATCTATCTATCTATCATATATCTAACTATCATCTTTCCATCCATCTATCTATCCATCCATTCATATATTTTATAGACTAAAGATGCCTAGAGAAACTTGAAAATAACAACTGCTTACACCTCATGCTGAGTTTAAATCATTTTCTTGTGGTTGTTGAAAAACAACTGGGTCATTCTGCATTATGAATAAACATCTCCAATCTTCAGTCTTCTACTTCTAAGCCTTAGATAGAATATAAACTTATTCAAAGGAAATCTATGACTTGATCTTTCATTACTTCGCTAGTCCCACTGCCAAACACTGGGCTGCTCACAGACCGTATTTCTGCTGTCCTCCACTAAATGCCTCATTTCTAAGTAATTCTCACTCTTTCATAGCACAGTACTTTTGTTGTCAATGTCACCTTGACCTGTTTAGTCTTTCCATTGTTACTGGCCTCAGTTTTTCTTTCCTATTCAGTCCCAGTTCAAAAGCTGACATCTATTTGAAGCTTTTCCCAGGAACTCCAATCAATCAGAAATCAATTTTATGTTGCCAAGTTTTTTCTTTTTTTTAAGTTCTCTTGTAACCCATATGTATTGAACTCTAATTTAGGTAATGACTGTGTGTCTTTCTTATTCAACTTGTCATTCTGAGATCCAGAAGAATATACTGCACCTAGAGGAAACTCTCCATGCATTTGTCGAGTAGGAAGTTAACTAGCAGTTAGGAATTGGTCAAAAAATTGACAATATCATTGTGACCATAACCTGTGCTTTCTTACAGTATGATCATGAAAAAAAATCAAGGATATTATGATTAGTTACTGAAAATTTCTGTTTACTCAATGAATTCTCTAAATAAATATCAATGTGCACATCTTTACATGGTATTTCACTGAGAGAAGCCTAGGTTTGTAATCAGATAATGGAACTGTGTCTTTCAAATGAACTAACTTTACCCCATTTTATGGTACAATGCCATCTGATCACATAGACCACTGAACTGACAATTACTCTCTATCTACAAAATTCTGCTCAATTGACATAGCTTAACCTCTAATCAGCTCCCTGTTCTCCAAAGTGACTTCTAGCGTTTTATCTGTAACATAGATGAATATATGGGTGGCAGCTTCATGATATTTATGAATTAAATCAATCTTGGAAAGAAAACTAAAATATTGAATTTGACTGGGTCCCGGTAGGTTAAAAAGATGAGTCAAATATGACAACTTGAACTTTAAAAGTGGTAAGTACAGGCCCTGAACGAAGGTTAAGAAAATCAATTGTGCAGTGCTGTATCAGAGATTTCACTTAATATCAATAGGAACAAGTATGCCAAGTAGCTTCTAGAAAGAAGAAAAAAGGAAAAAATGTTATTTATAAGAATTGAATGTCTAAAATAGTCGAGGTCCTTTTCAATTCACCACACATTTACCAATTATATTAAATCTGTATTTTGTAGCTAAAAATGCATTACCCACTAACATCCACTGAAAAGAAAACTTATCTGTATGATCTATTGTAGACTGTAATAACAACTATCTCCTACCTTTGAGCACTTGCTTTCTTCTTGGTGCTTTGAAAGCACAAACTCACATTGTCCTATGTCAGTCCACTTAGGTAGACCTGTGAATGTCTTCTGTGGCATGGAGAAAGGAAACCTTCAGCCCCAAGTGGAGGTTCCCATTGTTAGCTGCTGGATGTTATCTGATCAAACTTTCTTAATACTACTACTTCAGATTGTCCAAGAGAACCCAAAATAAGAACTGGTAATTTTTAAAGAATTACAATACTTATTATCCTGATTGCAACATTACACACATTATATATTGATAAAATTTCTGTATCGTAACATATAATAATGTATGTTTTTCCATAACATGCAGAAAATATAAAAATTATTGTAAAAAGCTTTGCTTCATTATGTTCACAGGCAAAGCAAATAGAAATGATGTTTGCAGGTGAGATCTACTCTGGGAAGCCCTTTGAACCAGTTTACATGTGCTCATGCTCATTGTTAAACCATAGTGTAGACAGAAATATAAGTTGTATTTATGTGCACACAAACATGTCTAAAGGTATAAGGTTACACAACCCCTGAATATCCATTCTGTCTGATATACATGAAATTAATCTATGAATTTCACTAAATTATAATGAGAATTATGATTATAACTACATGATTCAATAAGGCTGGAAATACTTGTCATAATATATTTGATCAAGCTGTTCTACATCAGAGAAAATAGCAAAATGGAGCATAAAGCATAAACTGTCCAATTCATAAATATATATGGTTAGTATCAATGTGTCTTATCTCCATAATAAAATAGAATCAAAATGTTACTAAGTGTTGCATCATCATGGGTAGGACAATGTTTTGGCATTTTAAAGATATTTGAGTGTTTTTTTCTAAATAGTCATATTTCTGAATAAAATGTTTGCCTTCAATTCAGAAAACACTATTCCTCAATGAGTGATTATATGCAAAATGCCATTTACTACCAATTTGTGAGCCACAAATAGTTGTTGATTTTGTCAATAATATTACCTAAGATGATAATTATTTTGTCTCATACAATTATTATGTGCATTTGATAATTTGCCTTAGCTTCTTTTAAAGCTTCTTTGTTTCTAAAACTAATTTAATTTTATAAGACCTCAATGAACAAAGTATGTCAGAGCATTGTTTCATGTAAGCCTTTAGAGTATGTTGACTTAATAAGACCTTTGACTTCTGCTTACTACTCTGGAGACATGTTCTTAAATATCATGCTTGTTAGGTTAGATTCTCCTCCAGCTTGTGGAGAGAAATAGCACAAAGATTACTCTGTGCCCTTTTGATTGCCTCTCGAAGGACCAAGTATGATTTTCTCATTACTAGTGGTATTGATATCGATCAGTTGCTTCATGAAGCAATTCCTATGATGACAAATTAAAAATAATTTAAGATTATATCTATTGCATTGTTTTCTCACTGAATGCTCACACATCCACTGTAGAAGCAACACATTCCTCTTGGATGAATTACACTAGATTTTAAATAAAACTGGCATATTTATGAATGATTCTATTTATGTATATTTTTCAAGGTTGTTTTACATTATTTTAAACAATTTTATTTAAAATACATGTTGCATACTATTAAAAAATCTCACATATACATCAGAAGGAATTAAATTTTAAAATGAGCCTTAAATATTAAATAGATTGTAAATATTCATTATTCATTATGTCAAATTCTTTGTCCTATTTTGTAAACCTTGGTTTATCACTTTAAATAGTGTTTTGCATTATGACTTAAAAAACTATAAACATTATTTTTGATTTCATGTAAAATTAGTTGATAAATCTTATTAACTTAAAATTCCATTTGAATATAAAATTATGTTATGAATATCAGATATTACTGTCCTATACTCACCTGCTAATTCAAGAATATACTCCTGAAATCTTGTGCCTATACGGTTAGTAGCAGTGCAGTTATATCGTCCAAAGTCATTTTCCGATGTAGGGGCAATCTAAAATAATCATAATAATAAAAATGAAAATGCTAAAACACCAAGGTTATTTTAAAAGGCTGAAGCATGTGTGCTTCTAGTACATTTGTTCAGTTATTTTACATGATTCCTCATAGAACTCTTTTGCTTATCCAACAAACATTATTAAATAATGCAAACATGTCTTTTAGTTTCATATATTTTCACTTCTTTTATTTTTGAGATTTTAATATCATTGCATCAATTTCCAATTCACTTTCACCTCTCCAAACCCACCTGTACACCCTCCATGAACTCTTTCAAATTATAACCTCTTTTTCCATTGTTGTTACAGCACATTTGTAAAAACATATATACATATTCCTAAATGCATAAATGCCACCTGCTCAGTCAGTATAATGCAAACATTTTAAAGACAAAATCCACAAAACTAGACATTCGGAGTTGAAGGGTTTCATGCTTTACCTATTAATTCATTAATTGGATCAAAGTCTTCATTTTGCTACATCTATTCAATGGCAAAATTATCTTTGGATAGACAAAGTATAGGAAAAATTTTAACGAAATATATCATGTAGTCAAAGAAAATTCAAAGGAACTGCAAAGTTTAAGACAATATGTTTCTACTAAAAGTAGGTCCTAAAGGACCAGGCTTGCTGAGCACTTGGACCATCAATGGTACAGGTAATGGGTTTTCCTCCCAAAGCTAGGGTTGCCATGCCACAGTTTCAGCTCATGGCAGCTGAAGGAGCCTTGAGCCGGTATGGCTGTGAGGTAAAGCTCTCTAGCCTGGTTACAGAAGGCTACAGACTACAAAGCGCAGCAGTAGTTGAAAGTGGAGGTTTCAGAGAGACTTGCTTGAACTAAAAAGTTTTGGTTGTGGGACTTCTGTTTGGAACTGTTTGCTCAAAATTCATTATGATTCTGACAGCTATACACAGACTAAGGGCAGCTGACAAGCCAGGGCCTGTCTACAAGTGCTCAAAGGAACGTTTAGGAATGGTACCAAAACTCTTTTTGAAATTTTAAATTTAAAAAATAAAATGGACAATAATGATTTCATTACAATGGGACAGTTTGAATTTGCTTATGCATATAGACTCTATCAACAGGGATGACTTATGAACTACTTACAAAACTGTCTATGTAATAATGAAATTATTTAAATAGAGAAGTTTGATTCTATTTCTTTTTTAAGAAAAGGGGGAGTATTAATATTCCTTGGTATATTTAATTTAAAAAAATATTTTTGTGTTACTTGTGTGAATTAATGTTGTGTTTTGTATAGTTCTAAACTGTAGTTTGAGAATAGGCTTGTAGGTTGAGAGTAGGCCTGTAGAAATTATTATGTTAACCTATTGATAGTGATGCACCATGGTTGGGTGAAGTTAAGAAATTATTTCAGTTTAAGCTGTATACATTAGAAGTTTATCCTATGTTTTGTTAGCAAGAAATATTGAGATGTAAGATTAAGAAAATTGTAACTATGCATAACAATATTTATATTAAAATTACGTTAATCTATTTGTCTTTAAGTTTGATGCGGTTGCATCAAGAATTTTTTCTTTTAAAATATAAAGAAGAGGCACCTGTTGCAGCCTAGTGGCTGTATTCAGCAGGACTGCATAAGAGGTTGATTGAACCTGGGGACTGTAACTGGCAAGGGGGAGATCTTTTGCTCCAATCCTTGGCATTGTTATAAACAGACGTTTGGAATGAAGTTCTGGGCCAGTGGATAAGGACTCAGGCCCACCTGAGTTTATCCTGTGTGTTCTCTCTCTCCCTTCTCTACTCCTAACTAAGTCTCTTACCCCTCAATCCTCAAGAGTTCCTGGGGTAAATAAGTGTGGGGGCAGGTCCTCTACTGTTTTTCCAGTTTGTTTGTTGGTTTGTTTTCAGAATGGTTTCATTCTAAATCCCACGCAGATCTGAAATTCGCTAGTAGCTGAGGCTGTCCTGATTCTACCTCTGAAGTGTTGAGAACATGAATAAGCCACTATGCCTAGTTCTGTGTTTTAATATTTAGTTCTAAAATGGATTTTTTGTTTGTTTGTTTGTTTTGGTTTTGGTTTTTTTTTTTATGAAAGATATTTGGCAAGAAAACAGTGCCTTGTAAAATGCTCTAAACAGGATTTTAAAACCTGTAGTAATTATCTTGGTTCCATTGCCTTTTTGTTTAGGTGAAAAGGACGTGACCTCAGTTTTATACAATGAAATCAAAAATTAAGTTAACCTTCAGGAATTCCATGGGTGAAAGGTGGGGTTAATTCTGTAATTCTACTGTGCTGAAATTCTTAAATGTCCATAATTCAAAGATATTTGATGATGGTAATAAATATAATTTTCAATTCCAGTAAGTATTTAAAGAGAGACTATGCTAACAACACAGATTGTACATTATTTTCTACCCTGTGCTAAAAGAGAGAAGAAATGAGTTAGTGGTAATGAGAGACTATTAACTAAGAGAACAATTTTGAGGTCTACTGAAGATGATTATTCTGAACAAGTAAAGTATAAAAAAGCTGTGTCATTCATTTTCTAGTCAGCTGTCCAACTAAGAAATGTTCATAGGCTTAACAGCTCAATTGCACAAATTTAACTTTTGCGAGTTCTCTGAAATGAGTCAGAAACTGATTATCCTTACACGTGGCTTTTAATAAATGAGCCTAGTTTAATTAAATTACAAATATATGTGCAAAATATTTTCTTATTCCCCAGTCATATGAGAAAGATTTTAGTACTTTCTATAAGAAACCTGGTGTTTATAGAATCAATATAAAAAGAAGCAGGAGAGCCACAACAAGTACTATGATTGCAGTACAGGTGTTTTTCTTTTTAATATTAATACTCTATAAAAAGATACTTACTTTGGAGCCATTTTCAAGGGGTTCAATTTATGAACTCAAAAATTGGTTTGATGCTGAATTGAAAACTTAACAGGAAATAAGACATTGAATTCACAGACCCTCCCATTTCAGGAACAAAATAGCCAAGAAACATAAGCTTTATAAATAATTCCATTGTGATGTTATGCTTAACAAATCCAGAAATCACTTAACATGTCACAGACGGAAAGAAATGGAAATGTAAATGAAACAAGGAAAAACAAGCAAGCAAGAAAATAAGGAAAGAAGCAAGCTAGGAAGAATTAACATTAAAGCCAGTGTTCTGACCTCTCATCCAACAATAGTTAGTACAAAAAATTATTGTTATGTTTGCTTTTGATTGACAACATTTCTGGATGTCAGATGTTAGAATAACCTGTTGATGTCCCTGTAAGGATGTTTCTTGAAAGGGTTGGAAAGACCCAAACTGAACATGGACAGCACCATCTTATTGGCTGGGGACCAGGATGAAATAAAATTGGAAAAAGGAAAAAACAAACAAACAAAAACAAACAAAAAAACCCATCCAGTATCAACATTCTGTTGCTTTCTGCTTCTCATTCAACATAAAGGGAATTCTCCATGAGTCTGTAGGCTTTCTGTAATTTTCGTTGTTGTTGAAATCTAACTTTAAGTCATGGTCGTCCAATAAGATACAGGAGGTTATTTCAATTTTTTTGTATCTGTTGAGATTTGCTTTGTGACCAAGCATGTGGTCAACATTAGAGAAGGTTCCATGGGGTGCTGAGAAGGTATATTTTTTGTGTTAGGGTGGAATATTCTGTAGATATTTATTAAGTCCATTTGAGTTATAATGTCTGTTAGTTCCCTTATATTTCTCTGTTAAGTTTCTGTCTAGCAGACCTGTCCATTAGTAAAAGTGGGGTATTGAAGTCTCCCACTATTAGTGTATGGGGTTTGATGTGTGATTTAAGTTTTAGTAATATTTCTTTTACAAATGTGGGTGCCCTTGTATTGGGGGTATAAATATTCAGAATCGAGACTTCATCTTGTTGGATTTTCCCTGTGATAAATATGCAATGTCCTTCCCAATCTCTTTCGATTGATTTTAGTTTGAAGTCTATTTTATTAGATATTAGGATAGCTACACCAGCTTGCTTCTTAAATCCATTTGATTGGAAAGTCTTTTCTCAGCCTTTTCTTCTGAGGTAGTGTCAGTCTCACATGGTCCTGCCTTTGCAATGCTCTGCCCAACTGTATGGGATTAAACCAACACTAACTGAACATTCTGGAACTCCGAATCCAAATAAATCTCTATGTCAAGTTGTTCTTTCTAAAATTTAATGATAGTGTTAGAAAAATACTAAACTAAACTAAACAAGAGCAATATTAAAAAAAACTGCACACACTATAAGATGAAATAACCAAAGTATATGATCGAATTTCCAGTACAAATTTAAATAGTTGTAATATATGCATAATCATTGACATCTCCTCCCAAGTGCTTTATTTAGGAACCTATTCTAGAATTACATATTATTAACCAACTGATAGGTTTATATGCCAATCAAAGAATAATAGTTGCAAACAAAGAATCAGGGGAATCATGAACATGAACGTTGAAGTTAAATATTTGACTTTTAAAAAAAGAGGCAGGTAGCAAGGAAGGCTAACAAGCAAATCACAAAGTGCACCTGTGTGTCTTGATAATCATCCTTATCAAAGTGATTTATGAGTTGCATTACATAATCAGAGCTGTTTAACAAATGTTCAACTTTTGTTACACACTACAACAAATAATGAAATAATATGGAAAAAAACTTATTATTTTACATCCCTGTGTTTTTTACCAACATAATTATTTCACTTTTAAAAATTAAATTCAAGAAAAATATTTCAACACATAAACACAGATAATAATAGGATATTATACCAATACAAGATTAATTTTTTAAATAAATACAAAATTTATATAAATATTTCAATATGTCTTATAGAAATTTAAATTAAGTATATTCTGACATAATCAATAACTGGTAAAAATATGCTTATTATGTGTTGCCACAGGCTTACCTCTAGTATCATCTTTCTTCCTACACTGTAGGTCTTTAAATGAGTGGTATTTTTAGCTGGTAAGACTAATTTCTCTCTTCGCCAATGGATTGATGCCGGTGGATTTGATTTCACATCACAACTAATATTGATTGGATTTCCTTCCCAGGAGTAATACATTGTCTGATTTGAAACAAACTTAGGAGCATCTGTAAAACAATAATATATAAATAGGCACTGTAATATAATCATTTCATTAGTGCACATATTAGTAATTTTTCCTTGCCTAGGTAAAGCATTCATAAGAGGAGACAGAGAGGTAGCACACTGGATAACAGCAATGGCCAACCTTCCTGAGGACCCGAAAAGGATTCTCAGCACCCACTAGGTGGCTCATACCCTCTTGCCATTTCAGTTTCAGGAAATCCACCTTGGCCTCCGCAGGCAATGCATGTATGTGATACACAGACATACATTAAGGTAAAACATTGATACACACAAATTAATAAAATATTTTTAAAAGAATTCATAATATTTCTAAATTTGTACCTTTTCTATGATACTAAGGCTCATGAAAATATATGACAACTGAATGTTTACAAAGACTTAATAGTTCAAATAAGAAAAAGAGGTGAATTATTGAAACCAGAAAAATATGTAGAACTAAATTTAATCTTAATATCTTGACAAAAATTAATGAGTTAAAATTAAGTAATAAACATTCAGCCAGTATTTATGGAAGTCTCAATATGATGTGGAATTTCAAATGGGAATTTAGAATATTATTTTAAAAAATCAATGATTTATTTATCAGTATTTAATTTTGTTCTAGTTATAGTTTTTCAACAAATATTGCACAGCAAGTGAAAAGTCTTAGTTACAGGAAAAGGTCCACATTGTTCATGCTTTCTTCTCCTAGTCCTACCTTGACTCTTATGACACCACTATAGTACTAGTTACTGCGAAACATAGATTGACTGATAGAAAATGCTTTCATATTTATAAATGAGACTATGTAATAATTCTTTCTGTGCCTGGATTATTACACTATCTATCTATCTATCTATCTATCTATCTATCTATCTATCTATCTATCTATCTCTATACCTATCTATCTATCCATCTATCATATATATATATACATATACGTATATATATATACGTATATGTATATATATATTTGCTGAAATGAAAGGAAGTTATCTGATTATGTATTTACCAGACCTCATTTGTAAGTTAATTGAACAGATTGGTTGCCTCTATCTCCTGGCCCTGTGAATTTTGTTGGTATAAAGTGGGACAGAATTTGGGAGAAGTCTATTTTACATACTAGTTTCACTTTCTTTAGTATACATACAATAGTGAATTGCTATATCATATCTTTCTCCAGTATTAATGTGCGTATATGTGTAACCTCCTTATTGTTGTCCATGTTATTCCCTTTTCTTCACATCTTTCATATCAAACTGAGAATTATGTGAAAATTTGACATGTACTCACACTGAGGTGACATGATTACTTTTTGAGGATTAGATTTACACTTTCCTAAGGTTTAGTTATGATGAGCAGGTGCCTTCTTAAAAAATATTGATTTAAGTCCACTGCTTATTTTAAAATCAGGTTACTTTAGTATTTTCTGTTAGTTTTGTCTGTTCATTATGAATTATATATTTTTTCTTCAAATTTGTAGTTTGATCTTCACCCTGTTGTTTCTTTCACTGTGTGGCACTTTTTAATTACTTGTGATTTTACTTGTTTATCTTCCCATTTATTTTCTACATTGCATTTAGGATCTCATCTAAGATAAGTCAGTTCCCATTTCATAGTCCCAAAGCAAAGCATTCTCTGTTCCTCATAACTTATCAGCTTTATTTCTTACATTTATGTCTTTAATCATTTTAAAACTAATTATTAAATTTGCGCTTTGACAGTTTCACACAAGTGTATAATTCATCCTGCATACTCTCATCTCCACATCCTTCCATCTCCTGACTACTCCATTCTACTCTCATTTTCAGGACAGTTGTGCTTCTCACATTCATGACTATTCATTTTGCTTTGAGACCCATAGAGTTTAATGAGGATTATTTGTGAAATAAAGAGTGGAAGCAATCTGTTGGAACCTGATGAGCTCAGTAGTGAATAAAAACCTGAAGACAATGATTGTCTCTCACTGAAAACCTAACAACAGCCAATACTCTAGAGGAAAGAGGCAGGGCTCATTGAGGACCTCATCCATTCATGACTGATTGTTGACTGCTAGCTTTGTGCAGACCAACAACAGATATTCAGCATTATTGTGTGCATGATTGTGGAAATCTTTTCAAATCTAGATATTTTCATTTTGTCACAAGAGGGATATAGCAATTTCACATAATTGTTCTGCATGTGTATATTGCTTTCCAATACAATTTACTGTAAACATTGTCATTTTTTCTAGTAAATGATATTTTTAGCATCTTTATTAGAATCAAATTGCTGATGTTTAGTCTGCTGTTTAGGGTCTCTATTCTAATACACACACAAACATACACACACACAAACATATATATATATATATATATATATATATATATATATATATATGTTTTATATTACAATTAGGCTGTATTTTTTTTTTTTTTTTTGGTTTTTCGAGACAGGGTTTCTCTGTGTAGCTTTGCGCCTTTCCTGGGACTCACTTGGTAGCCCAGGCTGGCCTCGAACTCACAGAGATCCGCCTGGCTCTGCCTCCCGAGTGCTGGGATTAAAGGCGTGCGCCACCACCGCCCGGCAACAATTAGGCTGTATTAATAGAGTACTGTAATATATTATGAACTGATCAGAATTGAGAAGATCAACAAAACAGCTGACATATCCTGGTGAGGAAAAGTAAAAGAGGAACTCACAATTAGTGGTAGTGTGACTGTAAACAGATTCAGCCAATCTTGATAGCAGTGTGGAAAAGTCCTCAAAAGCTACATACAAATCTACCATAAGACACAGATGCATCACTCCTAGGCATATTCGCAAAGATATCAACACCCTACACAATAGATTCTGAGCCATGCTCCTTGCTAATCTATTGACAATATCTAGGAAATAAAAACAACTTAAGTGTCCTTCAGCTGATAAATGAGTAATAGGAATGGGGAACACTCCACATCTTTCACGTGAGTCTAGAACCTGGAGAAAACACAGAACTCAGGAAAGGGAGGAGAGGGAGAGTGTGGCGGAGGGAGCACTGGAGAAGGAAACAGCAGAGCATAAGTGATATAAAGGGGGAAATGGGAAGATGGATGTGGAGGATTAACTGGGGAGGGAAAGGAGGTCAATACAGCTAGACAAGGAGAGAGGAGGAAAATGACACTAATGACATCTGAAAAGACACATAATAAATCACATTTTAATTTTATTAAATCATATATAGTACATATATATGTACTGTGTGTGTACTTGATGGCATTTGCATGTGCATACACAGTTTAAATGAAGCATCCCACTTGAATTGATTGTGCTCACTGCCAAGAGCCATAGACCATCTAATATTTTCTATTAGGCGTAAGAAACCCACATTCAGGGTATTTGATCACAGAGAACAATAAATTATCACAACGATAAGCTATTGCTCTAGTCCCTTGCTCCCTCCCAGATATTAAAAGTAAATCTCTTATGCTGAAGATGCCCTCTTCTTCAGATACAGTACTTGGAAGCTCTGAGTTGGAATCTTCCTTTCCGGGCACTAAGTTTCATAGCCAAACTAGGTACTATGCAAGCATACAAGGGAAAGAAAGCCAATGGCAGTCCTACCCTGTTGTAATGCCAATGAACCACAACAATGACCACCATGGCATGGTAACACTAGGTGCAGCAATGACACTCATACCTTTGTGGTAACCAACAGCTGTCTAAATGGACATAAGGCCTGTACAACTGGAGGGAAATCATGTCTGGTATTGGAAACCTACCCAACCACCCAAGGGTAACATGGTCATAGATTTAGAGGAGAACTTCTTATCACTCCTTTACTAAACCAGTGTAATTTATAACTGTATACTAAAACTTCATCCTTATACCCACAGGTAAATGTTGTAGAATAGAATATTTACTTAAGTAAAGATGTGTTACTTTTGTTTGAGTTGCAGAATATTTATTTAACTATGTAAAGATGTGTTACATTTATTTATGCTGCCAGCGAGGCAGCCACCAGACAGACAGACATGGTGAAAGCAGGAAACTAGGACATACTGGAGAAAGAGAAGGTACAAAGCCCCATGATAAAACATAGGTGAAGAGAAACAGATTAATATGTTATAAGAGCTAGTAGGACAACCCTAAACTAAGGCTAAGCATTCATAACTAATGATAAGTTCCCACGTCTTGATTTCAGGACCAGGGGTCCAAGAAAGTCTGTTATAAAATGTAGCACTCTGTATAGTTTGCAACAGATGTAGACCATTATAGAAAACCAGAACCAGTCAAACTGACAGATTGTATCCTTGTACTGAAAAAGACAACCTACTTTTTCAATGTGTATATATACCACAATTTTATATGCATGCATCCATTGAGAGAAACCTAGGTTGAGACTATATTTTGACTATTATATATAACTGATGTATAAAGTACAATCATTCCAAAAGTATAATAGAATATTCCTTTCTTCGGATCCATTTTAGCATTTACCTATTATCTTCTTTATAATAACCAAAATAATTTGAGGTGATATCTCATTGTAATTTTCATTTACATTTCTAAATCACAAGAGATATTAAAGACATTTTTCCTATAAAAAGCTTTATTGTTTTTTCCTGTTGGATGTTCTGTATGGCAAATGTGTTGCTGATTAGTCAATAAATAAAACACTGATTGGCCATTGGCTAGGCAGGAAGTGTAGGCGGGACAAGGAGGAGAATAAAGCTGGGAAGTGGAAGGCTGAGTCAGAGAGACACTGCCAGCCGCCACGATGACAAATAGCATGTGAAGATGCCGGTAAGCCACGAGCCATGTGGCAAGGTATAGATTAATGGAAATGGATTAATTTAAGCTGTAAGAACAGTTAGCAAGAAGCCTGCCACGGCCATACAGTTTGTAAGCAATATAAGTCTCTGTGTTTACTTGGTCGGGTCTGAGCGTCTGTGGGACTGGCAGGTGAGAGAGATTTGTCCTGACTGTGGGCCAGGCAGGAAAACTCTACCTACAGTTTTTATTTATGACTTTTAAATTACAA